TCAGTTACAGAGCGGATGTACCTAACACTGTGTAAATAGCTTTTTTTCTTTTTTTTTTTTTAAGAACTAGAATTCAGTATGTTCTATCACATGAATAACAGGCAAAAATATTTAGCTGTGACAATTAACAATACCTTTTACCAAGCTATTCATCCTCAAAGCAAGTTAAGTAATTAGTCCTTATAAGCAGAGTTAGCTGAAGGACATGTAAATAAATTTTCTAAAAAGGCACAATCTCTTTCCATGAATTGCTTGCTGATATATCCTAATTCAGGGAAAGGATATGTTATTCACAAGTATAGTGGAAATTGTATTCATTCTTAATGAAGTCTGACTCACAAGATGGAATTATTTTTTTCTTGCAGGCAGCCAGTAGCAATCTCCACTGACTTAGTTGATCTTTGGAAAACATCCTTAATTGTTGGTTTAGTTTCCAAGTGTATGAAGTGTAACTAGTATTTGACTAGTTCATTCATATTTGAAAACTGTTATTATTTAAACTTGAAAAATGAAGAAATAAAGAATGAAAGTATTGACAGCTTGCCCACATTTTCAGAGGAATATGATGTTTGGTCCTGCAACTATGATTGCTCCAGCTGTCAGCTCAGTTAACATAAAGTAATTTTTGTCATTATAAAATAATTTAGATTTTTTTTTTTTACCATATTGATATTTCTTACTCTGGTGTTTCACTTTCTTTGAAATTATGAGAGTTATGTTAAATTAGGAAGTGTTTGGTTCTGAACCTCCATGAGTGTAAAGCTGTTGCCTAATTGATTGTGACCACTTTACATCTTTTCCAAGATGATTTTCTTTGTCTACATGAGGTGATAACAGATGCTTAAAGGTTATTAATATGTTAGCAAACATGATTTAAATCCTTTTTGTTCCTGCAGTCTGTTTAAGAAGAGCAGTAGGATCAATAAAGACAGTTGTCTTTTTAGTATTGTTACTTACCCAATACAGTTCTTCTTTCAGATCTGTGCCAGGAACTAAGGATGCATTTCACTTGCATTTCACAAACAAGAGAAATGTTTCCAACTTACTGTTTATTCATCCAAAAGAGGGCTTCAATAAAGAATGCTGGTAAGTAACAAAAGTTAAAAATTAGAAACAAAAATTATTTCTCAAAGAATACTTTGAGAGTAATAAAATATCTGGAAATACATTTAAAAATAATTTCCCTTGTATATATATTATATTATTATATATAGCATATATTGTATGTTTATTATATTATATTATATTATATTATATTATATTATATTATATTATATTATATTATATTATACATATTATTCTACTTCCCCGTATATTATTCTACTTTGTCTAGTCATTTCCAACTCTTTGTTCACCCACCAAACCTAGGCCAATCTAGTGGTGTGCACAACATCCCCAGAAGGCAACTTTAGTCCTTGTGTTCCCACATTGTACTTTGCTTTTATGGGGTGGAAGGCGAGCAGATACCAACTGCTGTCCCAAAGCATGAGCTGGAAGCGGGGGTTGTTCACGTTTGGAAAAGGTAATTTGCTGCAGCAGATACAGAAGTGTGGGGTGTTCAGGGCCTCTGTCTTGTCTCCAGGTGTTTCCTTTGCTAACTCTGTCCTTTGTAAGACTGGAGACAACTCCATCATTAATATTGTCTGTTCTAGGAAGCTTGCATTTTTGGTTTCTGTAAGTAGATCCTTTCTTCACCTTGAAGTTTTTTTTTCTCCTTCTGCTTCCTGAACCTAGCTATACAGCAGCAGCAAGCCTGAAGAACATATTGCTGCTGTTCTTGAAAGCTGCAGAGAGTAAGGAGCATGGGAAGACCCTCTGCAGATATTGGTTTGTCACATTTTATTAGATCTGGTTCCTGAAGAGAAAGCCATATTAAAAAAGTGTGGACTGGATTTTACTCTCAAACATAATAATGCTCCTAGTACAAAAGGCCAGTTGTAGATTGGTTTCATTTGTTTTATATCAAAAAACAGCTATGCTTGAATTCAGCTTCTGAGAAAAAAAATAATTTGGACAAAAGTGTGTATCTAGCATAGAAAAATGCAAGCACAACTAAAGTCACAGGGAATTGGCCTCTACTGTAGTTCTTCTTTCCAAGAACTTACTTCACAGTGTCTACTAAAATAAACAACAACAACAACAACAACAACAAAAAAGGAAGAAAAAAAAGCAGGGATAGATGGGTGCTCCAGTGTACCTTTGCACTTCCTTACACCATTTTTAAGAGTAAAGGATTTTTTTTTAAATGTCTGCTCTTCAGCCAGATATGTGCTAAGACAATTAATGCAAAGTCTCCCTGCCCCACCTCTACACCCCATATTTACCCCTTTGAGCCCATGAATTCCAAACTGAAGGCAGGTTAAGTGTGGTCATAGGGGGAACCATTTAATCCAAATTCATGCCAATTGTACAGTCTTTGGGAGGGTAATCACTCTCTTGATCAGTGTTTATATAGTTTAGTAGGCTCATAGGTGCTACTGTGGTACAAACTGGGAAAGAGAGGGACATGGGGATCACTGTGTTAGCTGTCACATACTTCTTATTTCTGAGGAGAACTGCAAGGAAAATGACAATTACCCAAGCTTGCATTAGAGGATTAAGCCAGTGGTGGTTACTGATTTCTACTACTTGTGGATATGGCCAAGCCACTTGGTTCTACTCTAAAGGACATTGTAACTATTGGCAATTTTTTCATGTCAAAATTTCACGTCAAAATGTGATGTTATTCAAAAAAAAAAAAAAAAAGTGTTAAAAACTGACTGTTAAAAACTGAAAAACATTGTGAGATTTTTTTTTAATTATTTATTTTTTTAAAAAGGTCTGGAAATATTTTTGAAAGATTCGCAAACCCTTTTTCTCAGTTGTGGTCTCTGCTGACCAGCCACACAATAACATCTGGCTACAGACCACCCTCTGATCATTAATTCAGATATAAATTAGACCCATAGCCTATATTGTCAAGGTGTCCCTGTTCTCTAACAGAGCCAAAAGAGCAAATTTAGTGTGATCTCCCCTTTGGGAGGCTTAGCAGATTGCCCCATTGGATTCTTTTAAATGAGTTTTAGCTATGAGACTTCATTATTGTTTGAAAATAACTTGCAAGAGAAGCAGACTTCCTGAAGAAAAAATCATAGATATGCAATTATAATGCAAGTTAATCCTTTCCTTATCATAAAAAATAAAGTGTTTTTGTGAAACAATGTATCCATGTTCAGAAGGCTATTGTGTTTACTAGATGGAAAAATAAATAAATAAATAAAAATTCTCCTGGATAAAAAGCTGTATCTTTAACATAAGATACATAATCAATAACCTTGCAAGGCATTCAGGCTACATATTCACTAAGGAGCTGCTTTAATCAAAGGCATCCACATCTCTTTTCAGATAAATCCCGGTTGTCAGCTACACTAAAACAGTATTTTCAGCTCTTGTTTTCATAATGTTAGTCCTACATGACAGTTCTGTGTCATCTGACAACCCTAATCCATCTCAAGGTTAGAATCTATTTTGTATTTCAAATCTCCCAAATCTCTGACCACTTAGTTTAAGTAGGATTAACATAAGCACCAGAAACCACAGAGAAGCAACGAAAGCCAAGATTACACTTTGATCTGCTCATGTAGACATTTGCTGAACTCCAGCAATACAATGAGCAGCAGAGCAGAGCGAAACAGAAAAGCACAAACCTCAGAGTAAGGCATTGTGATGAATGTACATTTGGTAGAAAATAACCAGATACACTGAGTGCTTCATCAAAATGTTTTAGTCAGAAAATTATGCAAAAATTGCCATAACTGTTCTTATCAGCAAAGCATAAACAAATTTCACTTCAACACAATTGTTAGTCCACTGAAGAGACTAAATCTACTCTGGATTTTTTTTCTGATTATACTGGAATCCATAAAAAATCATTCTTGGTCCTATACATGCGCTACTATGAATCTGAGTGAGAAGCATTTGTCTATTTGTAAGCAGAGATTACCTTTAGCAATTAATGTTATTATCAAACTCAATTGACAAAGTTGTGTAATCTGTGTCTACTGCATACCAACATCAGAGGCCCCAGTCCTGCATTTCTTTTGCAGGATTGTTTTAATATTAATTAACAAAATCATTTAATGGCAGTGCTAAAATTATTTTTTCTGTTTCCTGGACTTAGAATTTATTTGAAAGACAGCTTTGATCTGTGCTGATGTGGATACAATGCAAAAGGAAACTATTCCACCAATAACCCAACAAAGTAGACTAAAGTGACCTTTTACTATTTTTGGTGAGAGAAATGTAAAACTATTGGTCACATTTTAATAATCATTTGCTATTTGCACATTTTTTCTTTAGCAATCAGTTTTTCAAATGGAAGCTTACCATTGGAGAAGGAATGCTTATATTAATCTCATATTCAAAATTATGATGTGAGTGTTGCGAGTGTTGCATATATTCTGCATAATCTGAATATAAACTTTTGCAAAACATCTAACAGAGCACTATCTTGTTGCCTGATGCTAGAACACTGAGCATTTTTTTGTTCTGAAAAACTATGATTTAGCATCCATTATTCTTTTTTTATTCTTTTACACCTTCATAATAATGTCATATTTCTTATTCCATGAACTAGCTAATGTTATTCACTTTTTTGTTTTGTTTTGTTTTGATTTCATTTCATTTCTGCTGCATTAATGTTGAGTGTTCTGGTTTCTGAGTTTCAAATAATATTAATGAGAGAAAACACATTTTTTAAAATAAATGCAGAACCATAAAAATAGAGCAGAAGCTTCTCCTCTCCTCTCCTCTCCTCTCCTCTCCTCTCCTCTCCTCTCCTCTCCTCTCCTCTCCTCTCCTCTCCTCTCCTCTCCTCTCCTCTCCTCTCCTCTCCTCTCCTCTCCTCTCCTCTCCTCTCCTCTCCTCTCCTCTCCTCTCCTCTCCTCTCCTCTCCTCTCCTCTCCTCTCCTCTCCTCTCCTCTCCTCTCCTCTCCTCTCCTCTCCTCTCCTCTCCTCTCCTCTCCTCCTTCCCCCTCTTCTCTTCTTCTTTTTCTCTTCTCCTGTTCTCTCCACCAGCTTTCTGGTTAGTCTTGGGATGGATAGTGGAGTAGAATACTGGCATTAATGATGGTGTGATATATTTAGATAGATAAAGGGACAAAAGAAAAAGGTATAGCAAGAAATTACAAAAACTGACTTCTTTAAGTTGGCATCAGAAGGGACGTGTCTACAGGCAGGTGTCATTCAGCTTTGTTGAGTTTAAATGTCTAAGCATGAGCCAGCTTCGTGTTTATCAATGTGTCCAGCTCATAAATACTCCTTTTAAGAGACAAGCTCTCCCTGTGACCCACAGAATTATGTTAGGTGTAGCTTCAGAAGACTGTGTAGACACTGAAGGAAAGGAGCTCCTTGGAATTATTCAGCAAGTCTATTGGATTGCAGTGATTCATGGCCAAAGTGCTAGCTTCTGTTCTCAGCCAGCAGAGGTAGGCAGAAGATACTATCTGTAGTATTAGTGAACAGTGGGAGCATTTAAAGCACTTCTGAAGGGGCCTTAAGTCACTGGCAGTTCTTCAAAGCCAAGTAGGGAGTGGGGCTGTGAAGGCAGCTTAATCCCTTTGGCAGCCAGTTCCCATCTGTCTCTCTTCAGGGTATGATGGACCACCTGCAATCAGGTCACCTGGCAAAGGACTTATCTGGGGCACAACAAAGCATGAAGGATGCATCATCTCTGAGTGCTTCCAGAAACATCTATGTGATACACCATTGCCAATGGCCTGGCTACCACTGGCGCAGCTAATGGTATTTGGAGGTACAGACTCTCCCCTTAGGTTAGTCTTTTGAATCCTGAGCTAAGTTGCACATTATGGGACACCAATCTTGTCCTTTTCTGATATTTCAGTCTTCTGTATTGCTACAGAGTCACAATTAATTCTGCTTTAGAGGCCAGTGTCATCCACCCTCTGCAACAGAACTGAATCTATCTGCTGCACCTTGGGACTCAGTACCCACACACTGGTCACCAGTCCTGTGGAGTTTTTGCACTAACTTCAATAAAGCGGTTCATTATTTTGATTGTTTTAATAACATTGGGAATGCTTATAAAGAGGACAAGGTAGGAAACTGTGAGGGATGATGGGATTCTGAAATACAATAAAATGGGATTATTTTTCTTAATAAAAAGGGCTTTTCTGGGTCTTGTGACTCCAAAGCAGTCAGCTAGCCTTTCACTACTGTATATCCACTTTTTCTGCATATCTACTTTTTTTTTCCTTTTTAGCTCATATGTAGTGAAATGCTCAACTACGTTTCCCTGTATCTTTTCCTCTCCAAAACCGAGTCCCATAATATGACGTCATAAGAAAATCACCTTTGCTCTGTAGCTCTTAGCAGATTTCTATAAGCAAAGGATAGATAACTCAAATCTAGTCGAATTTAGGAACTACTGTGCATTACAACAAGCAACACTTTTTCCTAACATCATGTCAAAAACAAACCATAATTATTTTTACTACAGATTATAGGTCTTTCAAAAAAAAAATCAGAATACTCAAATTTGGGTCTGTCAATAATTCCCTTTCACCCTAACAGCTGTTTTTAAATTGACCTTTTGTCAGTCAGGATAATTCTGAATATTTTAAAGGTGAAGTAGCATCTGCTCAAGTCTGTTAGAGTTGTTTTACTTTGTGCATGATAGGAATTCAAATGTAGGTTTTTCACACCAGGAAGACATATCCTAGCCACCAGGTTATCGCCTTTCTCAGGCTATCCTACTAGAGAATTTCTCTCTGTATAACTAATTAAATAGCTAGAAGGAGAAAAACAGAGACGGATGGTAGTCTCATGATCTTTCATGTAATTAACATTTGGGGGAGGGGAGACAGGGGTGTTGTTATTCATTAAATTTTAATGAATAACATTCGAAATAATATAGGTCCAAATTCTGCTCTCATTTACTCTGGTGTAGAGCCAGACTAATAAGATAAAATAGCTTATGCCAGTATAACACTTAATGTCACTGTGAGAAGGATAAAGCTCATAGAATTGTTTGGAGTAAAAGAGATAATTGTCCAAAAATAGCCAGGAGGGAAATATTTTCTGTGCCTGTTTTCATTCTTTTTAGTGTATGCTGTTCATACATTAATCTGCGTGGGTTTTTTTTGCAAATCAATATGTCTGAATCTCCCAATAAAACTGCTTTTGCAGCTATTCTACTAATTTAGTAAGACAAAGTAAGACAAATTCTCTTTTCTTCTACACAGAGAGGAAAGAAAATAAAGTAAATAACATCTGATTTGAATGGAAACCATTTACCTATGGATGATGCCTGAAACAGAGGCTTGAACAAAGACAAGTTCACATCACCGACCTGTAAGACCAGTAGACTTCTTAGCTAGTCAAAGATTTCTCGACACGGCAAAACAAATAGGAACCTGACTCAGGTTCTGTGAATCACCATTTGAAGAAAGCTGTAGAGGTCCACTGACTCTCCAAGAACCTTTTTTTCCTAGCTGGGACTTAGACTTCTTAATCTAAAAGTTAGGAAGTGTGAACATCCTATTTTCTGTCAGCTTTGTATATCCAGCCTTCAGGTTGTAATCAATTTTTCTTTCTTTCATTCTATTTTCACTGCTCTGCTGCAACTACAGAAGCACCAACCTGGAATGCATCCAATAGCCATTTCTTCTCATGGATAGCAAAAACTGACCCAGAGCCAACAGGATAATGGAGCAATAGCAACTTGAAAACAGAACCTTTTCTGTACAGGCTTTGATAAGCCTCTTTTTCTCTGCCTTTCAGGCCAGTGAGAATGTTGCTAGAACAATATCTACTGCTTGGACCAACCATCTCTGTCATAGTACCTCTTGTCTATGACTCCTTTTCCCATTTCATATAGGAAAAATCTCCCCATGCTCACTTTCAAAGCCTATCCTTGGTGTTCCTTTATTATTTTTCCACATTAATAATATATGAAGTTATTGATGCTCTGCACTTACATGCTTCCATTAATGCTGACCTTGACATCCACAAAATATTTTCTTCTTTGCTTAGAAGTTCTCCAGGTCAATCCAGTATCTTCAAATGGGGCATATACAGTCTTTATAAACTATTACTTTTCCTCCAAAGCTGTATCTATCCTTGAAACTCAGTTACCGTTAACTAAGGATCTGTTTAATTGTGACTTAGCATAATAGTTTTGCCATGACATTCAGCTATTGCCTTCCCATTGACATTTACCTTGTGTGTATGTAAGGGGCATACAGCAATTTTTTCTTACTTGTAAAAGAAATTTTTTAAAAGGACCTGGAACACAGGTTGATCAAATTTGGGGCAATTTTTCCTTCTCTATAGTCTTAAGGAAGCTATGGGTAATAAAGAAAATTAAGAAACAAGCTTTTTTGTTTGGTTTACACAACAGCTTTCTGCTGTTGTGGTGCCTAGGAGAATCTCTATCTGTATGCTCCAAAGGTTGTCCAAGAAAATAACCCTGTGGGACTGGACACAACCCAAAAGTACTCTGAAGACAGCAGCAAGTTTCTTCTTGATTTCTCTGAAGCAAATTTCCATATATAGTGAGAAAGTAGATTTTTTAATTTGTTCTCAAGTAGCTGGGCTGGAAATACAGAGAGGACAGACAAAACCAATTAAGTGTCCTGAGGAAGATTCATGGTGTCTAGGTTCTTTCTACCGATTATAACACTGGCAGTTCCAAAAAGGTGTCAATTTTCTGTGCCAAAGTACAGGACAAAAACTAGAAATCTCTTTTGAATTCATGAGAAGAAAAACTATTTATTTGTGATTCATTATGAAAATATACCTTAAATGGGTATAAAAGTAACCAGTATTGTGTTGCATATAAAATAGCCTTATGAACACCACTTACATTGAAATGCTTATAGTTCACGTTTTATATGTGGGATAAGCCCTGGGTTGGAATTGTGTTTATTAGTTAAGGGCTTGCTTTGATATATCAAGGTTTCTCCCATTCCTCCCGATCATCCTTTCCTTTGAAAGTTCAATACCTGACTGAAATGAGAATTTCCATCCACTGCATCAAACAAGCAATGATCTATTCTGAAAGGTTCTGTATTTAATGGCACCACATGTAATGGGAGCAGCGAGAGGAGGGGAAAGTTTTTTTCTAATCTCCCTGGTCAGCTCATTCGGCGTAATAATATTAAACCTACTGAATTACAAATGGCAGAATAAACCTAACCTTGGTGATTCTCCAGTGAGTAGAATTCAAGTCCAGGTAATAAATGAATTGTATATTAAAGAGAGAATGAGAAGCCCAGAGGGAAGGGCAATGCTCCCAGTAAGGCCAAATACTTGCATCTCATCCATCACTATAGACCTTCACTATAACAACTTTGAACCATAGGAGGAGACAAGAAAATATAAATGTTAACACACTTTTTGTACATAGTGATAATTACAGGTGATTACCTTTGTCAATACTAGCTCCTGAATTCAGATGCTTTTGTGTCATTCTGACTTCTGCTGTGATTGCCATTAATTCATGCATTTTAGCAAGCCGTATGTAATAAGAGTTCCTGAAAAGTTAATACTTTTTTTTTTCTTGTTTTCCTGGTAATTCTCAGAATGTAAAAGCAAACCCTTTAATAGCTTTAATTTACATGGTAAATCACTGGGCAGGCACTTAATAAACTGGGGTGTATTTGCAGCAAGTAAAGATCTATCTTGAATTTACAGTCATGACCTTCAGCTGTCTTTGAATCTTTTTACAAGTTTGACAAATGTACTGGGGAGACAAATCATGGCCATCTTGGCTACTCTACAACAATAGAATTCAGGTAAGCCTCCTTAAGAACATGACAAATGCTATCAGGGACAACCTTATGCTTTAGAATTTGTTTACAGTAGAGCTACAAAGCAAGTCTAAAATTCACCACCTTCTTTCTAAAGGGAAGGTGCTTTTTTGATCTTGTCTTTTGTACTATAACAATACATGGACACAGATATATTCTCTTTCTCTCTGTATCTGTAGACACAGTAGTGGTGAGGTCCCAGCTGGACTGCTGTGCATACTTTTGGTCCTTGTAGCTCACAGTAGAACTGAAGAAACTGGGGAGAATTGAGCAGACAGCAACCACAGCAGTGGGGCACAGACAATATGATCAACATGGAGAGGTTAGTGATACTGGGTTTGATTAGCCTAGCAAAGGGAAAGCTGAGAGGCAACTCACAGAAATCTGTTACTGCTTAAAGGGTGGTTACAAGCCTGAGGGAGACAAATGGTGCTAAGTAGCATCAGACAGTGTAACAAGGGGCAACAGCCAAAGTGCAGCTTGCAATCTTCAGGCTGGACATTCAGAAAAACAAAACAAAACAAAACAAAACAACAAACTTCTCTTAGAAAACCACTGCCACACTGCAACAGGTTGTCCAGACAAACTGTGAAATCTCCATTCTTGGACATTTTCAAAACTAGGTGTGGACAAAACAATGCTTCAGTGTTGGCACTATTTCCACTTCAAGGAAGCTGGACTAGATGACCTCCAAATGTGTACCTGGATGATCTTCTACCTACAGGCAGAAGTTAAAAAAACAGACAAATCCATGAAAACATTAGACCTGCTGGTTAACATATTTCAGGAAGTCATTCAAATATGGTGTTGATGAGAACAGGGCAGAAAAGGAAATTACACCCTCTTTGTGACTGTCAAATCTAAATGTTACATAACACAGACAAAAAAATATAAATAAATAAATAAATAAATACAAAATAAATACAACATTAAAATAAATAAATAAATAAATAAATAAAATAATAAAATAAAAATAGTAGGTGCAACCAACATCCCTCGAACTTCATACAACTTGATCATGGACAAGTGTTAGCATTTGTTTCTGAAAATTCTGTTGACTTGATAGCTCTGTGGGTTAAATTGTATGCAAACCTAATGTGAAACCCTTGTTTTACCTTTTGGTTAAACAATAAGAGAATACACATACATACCAAATGCCTGATCCAGGATAGCTGAGTCTGAAAAAGTACTATTTTATGCAGAATACTTGACAAAAACTTTGATCTAAAAATTCACTAATTTTTATGATAGTGGATGACATTTCTTTTATTATTATCCCTAAATCCATGAAGCATTGTTATATAAACAGCATTTCAGAAGATTAATAGGTGGGCACAACCCTGACTAGTATACCCAGCAATTAAAGGTTTTTACATCCTGACCTGGCAAGATCTCTCCCAAAGAAGTATGCTAAAATAAGAAAACAATTATCTCAAGCTTCTCTGAACAGTCAAGTTTTTGCTGATATCAAAGAACTTGTCTATGTTTGTTTAAACTCTCTCCTCAAGTTTTTGCCACTGACTTCATAATGATTTCACATGAGAAAAGTCATTAAATCTTCTGCATTGTGATTTCCAGTTTCAACTGTAAATGTTGTTATGGTTCTTCCCTAAGATCTGATGCTTTGGTATTGCATTAGCACCTACAGGCTTCAAGTAAAGCCAAGTCCTGCCTTGGTTCAATGATACCTATTGTTGGCCATCTCTTCTCCAGAGATGTCGTAATTACATAAGACAATTAGACTATAGGGGGGAAAACACAGGTTCAGGAGTATGAGATCTGATCATTGTCATAATGGGTCATAAAGCTAGCCATGATCTTATTCATTAGACTTCATCCATTGTGTAAAAACATCTATAAATAAATAAATAAAGTAAAATGAGTGATTATAAAAGTTAGAAGTTTAAAGCCACAGGGAGGCAAAAGAAAAAAAAATAAAATAAAAAAATAAAGACACCAGTCAGGTCAACAATGTCTGTAAGAGTATTTACTCATTGAAGGGAAGTAGGTTGTTAACTGCTGTTTCAAATTCTACAGTGTTCTTAAAGCAAAGTAATGTTCTTTACTTCATTCTTCTAACTTGGTATGTTACTTTTTTGTTTGTTTAATGACACCAGACATATACTTAAGAAAACAGCACACTGAGGATCTGATTTATTGCCTAGGATTCTATTTGCATGAAAAAAAAAACAACACTAAAGCAGAATTTGACAGGTACTTACCAATTCAGCTCCTAGGGGGTGCATTTTCAGCCAATTGTGTGGGGAATTAGGCATGCAGCTACCTACAATTTATTTATTTAAATCTGTGAGCATTCAGTGTTTCTCCTCAGGAAATAAAATCACTGGCTGGATTACTTTGCAAACACAATTTTGTCATCTTGACCCACCCAAAGCTCTGCCATTTCATTCAATGATATCCTGATAACTTCAATTAACTTAATTTTTGTATCGTTTCTGCAATTTTGAAGCCACCGACAAAACTTATTCCATATTGCCAGTGGCTACCCCAACCAGCCCGAGTTTACTATCAAAAGAATGATACCTGTCTGTTCCTCTGTGTGTCATCTTGGAATTAGGTCCAGACGTTCACCTAGAACAAGGTTTTCAAAAAAAAAATCTTGCACATTACTAAGAGAAATATACAAACTCAGAGGATTCTGAGTAATCATTCTACTGATCATGACACTTCATTTTTTGCATGTTATAATAAGGGATATAAATGTATTTCATTCAGAAATCAGCTACAAGGACTAGGTAATTGACTTAAAACAGCTATGGTGTCTGCCCACTAGTTGGCAGAAACAGAAACAATGTTGATAAGAAGAGGAATAATTATTTCATACTTGCAGTAACAGTTGTGCATTTGCATAAACATGAGTTCAATGCTATGAAAGTTCCTCTGGGTCAGAGTTTTAGGCGGATGATTCCTGCTTGTTGTCTATGTCACTTGAGATTTTAAATTGTTGTTCAGCAGCACAGGGAACAGCTGCTTGGCACGTCAGGCTTTTAAAATAATCTTTGGACATTAGTTGGCAAAGAGACGTGCTGATAGATAGAAGTGTTATATACAGAGAAGAAAAAGAAGTGGAAAATCCTAAGGATGCCAGCTGAGATGGAGAGTCTAACCTAATATATCCCAATGTATGAGAAAGGCAGCTTTCTTCATTAGAAAACAGTCTGAGCAATGAATAAAGCATATATTCATACAGAGTACACCAGTGTGAAAAACCATGGAACAAAGCTGCATGGATATATTAGAAGGAATGTGTACAAGTAGATAGGGCATCAAAGTAAGTCAAGAGATATTGGTTCTAGGTTCAGACCCAGACCCCAGTCATGAATAACACTTTGGATAAATTAAATCTGGTTATGTCTTTGCTTCCTCTCTCATCTTGTCTGCCTTTTCTATCTAAACACTAAACTTTTTAAAGTGTGGACAGTCTCTTCCATGCTCACACAGTGCATGGAGAAATAACAGCCCCGTGCTCAGCCGAAACTTCTAGACTGCACCATAAGAGAACTGATTGGTGGTAATGAGATCAATGGAGTGCTGTAAACACTGGCTTTTAAAGATATACAAGCTGGGCTGGAGCTGTGAGATTTCTCACACACACATTGAATCTTTTACTGTTCTGCCAGTTTAAAACGCTGCCATATAGACTGGGCAAGAAAAGATTGGATAGCTAGCAGGTAGGGAGGATGACTTCTCCAGCATCAAAGCACATTAGGAAAATCTTACCAACCTGGAGCTCTAAAGCAATAACTAAGTAAATTTACTCCTTGCAGATGGAATATATTGATGATAGAAACCTTCTTTTTGAGATTATTTTTTTTTTGGTACATTATTCAGCTCTATAATAATAGGAACAAATAATATTGGTAATAATTCTTGTTTTAATATTAGCATGTTGATCATATTATGTTTCTTTTTTTTTTTTTTTTTTTTTTTTTTCAGTCCAGTGTAGATCAGAATGTCCATGATTTTTTCATTTGAAAGTAAACTTTTATTCTGGGGAAGGTGTAGTGGTTTTACTTGGGTGGGCAGCCTTCTGGTCTCCATGATACCTGTACGAGTTGCAGTCACCAGTGAATTTCTTCTGAAGTGGTATTACCGGACCTTTTTTTTCTATTGAAAAAGGAAAAAGATACTTTTCTGATAGGATTTGAGAGCAAGAAATTATCCTTTATTATTTCTAATTTGGATAGCTTTTTTAAAAGACTATTTGTTCAGAAGTTTTTCTCAGTAATATAAAATTGTGAAAGGTACTTTTTTTATTTAATGTACTCAAGAATCTCCTGTCTTGCTAGAAAGAAGTATGATGTCACCTGTCTGGAGACAAACAGGCTTAACATATTAAAGTGTTTTTTACAGTAGCCTGCAGATATGTTGCACTACTCATTTTTGAGTCTTGTGTTTATTGTGGTGGAGCATTTATTCATTTGTGCATGAGCTAATGCATTTGCAAATGCTAGCAAAAGTATTTCACATTATCCATGTCCTTTTTTCTCTGTACTGCAGAGAAATACTGAGTACTGTATTCGTAGTACTACACAAACTTCTATGTGCCATGCACACATAGAGCCTTCCTTTTCGAACTGTACTCAATTTTTTCCACTGCCTCCATCCTAAGGGATGGTTTTGAGCCAGGAGGTGGTATAACAGATTTCAATCTACGTGTCAAGGGATGGCAAGTACGTTCGTGTTATTAAACTAACAGCAAACCAAGTAGGGCAGCTAGCTGTTGACTTCACACCTCAGCTCTTCTCTATGTGAAGTGTCTAAACTGGGTCATTCTCTCTTCCACTCTGTCTCCCTTCTATCTCTTATCTTCAACAACATTTCTGGGAACTAACTGGTTGATGGCTTTCTGTACCTTTTTCAAACTTTTCATTGGAACAGATCATTTGATTTAAAACTTACAAGAAGAGAATTAATAAAATTCATAACACAGACTTCCTAAACTTTTTTTCCTTTCCTAAAATACAAAGGAAAGGATCAAAAACATATATATAGGGTGGTATGAAACGATGCAAGAAAATTAGTTTGGGACTGAAAGAGATATATCAGATATATTAATGTAATCTGTTCTTAGAAGCCTCAAAGAAAATTTCATAGATGCCTTTAGTATACTTGTGTATTTACAGGTTTTTGATTTGTATTTTTCCCCCCTAATAAATTATCCTTGCTGTAAATTAAGCTGGTTTCTTATGTCCTTCCATACTATTTTCATCACACTGGAAACTACAGTATATTAAAACTCAGATACAGCAATTGCCTGCTCACACCTATGAACAAGTTACCCATTCCCAGTTGTATATAGGAACTCCAGAGATAATGGAGTTTTTGACTCATACCTATCTTTAACCTCATCTAGCAATATGGAGAAAGAGGAAAAGAATAACATACTCCAGTTTTGCTATTAATAAATAAATTCTTCACTTTTTGAAGTCTTGATTTTGCAGTGCAACCACGTTGTCACGAAACATTTGTTTAGAGGTATTTAGGTATTTTTCATTGGACCAAGAGATACAAACGTAAAAAGACCAGTTTTGAAGAAGACAAGCTCACGGAAGGAGTCTGTTTTGAATACTCTAACCTCTGCTAAGATTCAGAGATCAGAACGCATGATGTTTGTTTTGGTTTTACTTTCAGTCACACTGAATAGATTTTATTTTTTTTTAATTGCTTGATGACTCCATTGTTCACATAAGTTGTGTGTGTGAGACAAACACTTAGGAATTTGCTTTGAAAATTCATACCAGATATAGACTTTCTGCTACCTTTTCTTCTGGTCTAACATTGCATTCATTTAACAGCTCTAAAGAAAAAAGGAAAACATCAGTAATGTCTTTTGCTGGATTAATGACAAATTGACTAATGTGCTCTACCCACTTTGTGCCATTCAAATTACTTTGAATAGCTTTAAATATGGTTTTAATAGCATTATCAAAATGCTGTTGAACAACCTGTATGCACCAGCAAATCTGTCCTTTCAAGTATAATAGATTGTATAGGCTCATTTCATGTTTCTTATATCCAAATGAGATTAACACATAGTTTTGTTTAACTGTAAAATGAACATAAGGTTCAGCTCTGTAGCTGTTATTGAGAAAAAGCTGTTTCCACATTTTCTGTTCAAGTTAGAACTGCAGAAGCCAGACCAGAAGAAAACATAAATCATAAATAAATTCACTTTTTGCACTTCAGAATTCTGCTGATCCACACTTGTTGACCCTTGTTTTACAAGAAAGCAATAAAATTACCCAGTATCACAGAAAGATGATGGGATGGACATTCTTCTGTGAGATGCTTTCTGTATGATCCATGATCTGTATCTGGGTGTAAATGCAAGTTACCATAAAGTAAACTAGGCAATGAATTTACACGCTTTATTTCAAAAGCTACAACACTGCCTAACTCATCCTGAAGTCTTCTTTAGCTCTGCAGAACTGATTGTGAGTAGTTTTATATATTAACCACATTTTTTCCACACTGATGTGTGCACAATTAGCAGCCTTTATGAATGCACATTTTAATGTATATTAAAGAGTTCATAAAAATGCTTAGTCTGATGCATTCAGTGATTCAGTGTGTTGTTTGTTTTTTTTTTAATTCTCTCTCTCTCAAAAAAAAAAAAAAAGTACTTTTCTATGAGTAGGAAAAGTCTGACAAGCTGAAATGCTTCATATCCCAGTCTGTCATTTAAGTTATGCAGGAATTACTAGAAATGAATTTCTGGTACTTTAACAGAACTCAAGTATTTCATAAGCCATAACAACACAATGGATTTGGTGATCACTTCAGAATAACCATGACACTGCTTCTCTTTTTGTAGCTTTAAAAAAAAAAAAAAAAAGACATTCAGATTTTTTTTCTCTATTTTAAACAGTTTGTGAAGACCAAATTCTCTCTACCCACAAGTGCTGCTTAACTGCATGCCAAACTGAGAAGTGTTTCTTCATTTCTCATTAGCTTCTTTGTCTAGCTCAGTTGAGTACGAAGGTAATTAAAAAAAATAGTAATAACAAACCATATACCTCGTTCTTTTTTAGGAAGAATGTTCAATTAGGAAGGTATGAACTATTCCATTCTATTCTCTAGAGATATTATACATAAAGTGATTACATGTTTATGCTCCAGATTTGCTCACTGTTTCTTATAATATATATCTGCAGAAGAGACATGCCTGAAGTCTTAGACAAGATACAAATTATCAGAAAAAAAAAAAAAAAAAAAAAAAAAGACAGAATTTAGCTTTCAAGTCACCATCAATATTTTTAATTGATTTGTTTGAATTTTTTCCCATATATTACTAGAAAATCATGAAGTTATATGAAATTATATTCATGATTGTAATTCTAGTGTCAAGTTAAAGGGAAAATCTTTATAATTATAGTGAAAATGTGGTGGAACTCCAACAAGCTGAAGATTTTAAAATTTGGTTAATCAGTGATATGCAAGATGCTATTACCGACATTACCCTTCTAAGGGCTATATCCCAAATTCTAACATATGCTAATAATAGTTGTCTCTGTAAGACTTTGCAACTAAAATTAAAATTTCTTTAGTTATCAATTTTCTAAAACTACCCTGAAATGCAAGAAAATTTCTATATTTGTTCTTACTTTAAATCTTGATCCTGACTATGACAGGAGTAATTCAAACATCCTTGGTCTTTGGAGATGCTGAACTCTGGACAGGAACCTTCATAGTTCTGGCTTATATTCATATGCCATAACAATTATGATTTGGTATCCTTTTTACAGATCACTTTTTACTGCTTCTTGATATCTATGTTGTTAGCTTTTCTTGATGAAGGATATGTGCTTCAGAAGAACTCTTCTGCAGTTTGGTGATTAATCTTTCTCAAAAAAGATAGGGTGTGGCCTTCAAACCTCTTGAATACTATTGAACAAGTGATGGTGATTCCCATCATTTGTCCAGGTTTCATGAAAGCAAACTTATCAATGGTTTACTTGAACAACCCCTGGGAAATCTCTCATTCTCAAGGCTCAGAATAGGCAGCTAAGCAATTCATGCATGGCTACCATAAAATAAGATTGAACAAGGATAGCGTTAGGGTTTTAGAACATTATTATATGAGCAGGACATCAATCATTATTCTTGAAACTATCTGTCATATCCCTCAAACTGGGATTTTGATAGCTTTGAATGTACCTGCTAGTACTGGCTCATCATCTTGGTAACCTGATATATTTTACCATATGATGCACTCTATCTTTTCTGACTAACTTTAGAGTTAAAATGCAGTATGACGACACTGAAAGACAGAACAATGGCTAAGCCCTGATCATGTATCTTGCTAAAACAAAGGATTCATACTGCTAAATTGGTAGCAGCTCTGCAGCTGAACACATGTAGCTGTACTAGGAGCATGGTCAGTTGAATAAGCTAAAATAGTACCATAAAGAGAACAAAATAAAACACTGCAATTTCAGTGATCTTCTGCTGGTCAGGATCATAGATTCTTCTGCTTTAAAATTACCCTGCTACACTGAGTTTTCACTGAATGCAAATACATCCCAGCCTTAGAGAAACATGAAATGAGTGAATGAGAGTTTTTAACAGTAGATGGCATCTCTGTTAATTCAGAACTACATTAATTCCACCACTCTGGGTGACACCGCACTGCTGTGCTCTCAGTCTCATGGCTGAAATACAGACCAGCCTTTGACCACGTATATATACAAAAGGTTTTCCAGCATCTTTTCTCTGTGTGTGTGTGTGAGAGAGAGAGAGAAAGCGAAAGAGAAAGAGAGAAAGAGAGAAAGTTTGAAAATCTTGGTAAAATTTGCATGTGAATAATGTTGTTAAAAAGGAATTACAAAACAGTCAGTATGGTTTCAAATTGTAAGGTAAAGAAATGTAGAACATAGGCCCAGAACGGCTCTCATAAATTGTTCAGTTATCTTCTCTCACTCAATATAGCTACCCTAGCTCTACCTAGAGTGAAATCTTTTTTTTTTTTTTTCTTTCTATGTGATACGTAACTGAGAAGCTTTACTTACAATTAAAAATTATTAAATTGTTGCCATACTGTATTCTGGCAATAGCTACTTACACAGTCATGGAGAACATAAATACTCCATAACAGAGAATGGACCTCAAGTGATCCAATTCAATACAGCCCTACTAATCTCAAGCAAGCTTGGCACTGGTTAAGGAACTGATCCATAATTTATCATTCAAAGTATGTAGGCCTTGGTAATCATCTAGATGGAAAGCACTATTTAATATAAAATCCTATGAATCTATTATCTATTATTTGCCAGACACTGAATGAAGTTCAAACCAAAAAAAATGTGTTTGACAAAAGAAAGTGAGATGAAAGTTTGTGGGGAGAGGAAAGCAGACTATTGGAAAGGCCAGAGGGAGGTAACAATGGGTTTTATTAAAATTACACTACGTTGTGAATGCTGGTCAAAACCAGTGTGGTGATTCGTTAAGTGCTGACAATTTTCTGATAATACCAAAGTTGTTTGCACTTTGGTAGAAATATTGGGAGTTGAACTGTTTTCCCACTGCCTTTAGGAAGACTATCTACCACAACACCAAAACTACAAGCTGGGAATAAGAAACCCCACCCTACTCCCATTTCATACAGAAAGGACTGTGTCCTCTGGTGGGTTTACCAGAAGCTATCACCATTGCTATTTCCACATTACAGGATGAAGGGACAGCAGGGACACCTCTTCTTGTGTACACATATTTCAGGAGACATCTAGAAGCTCAAGATGCAGCCAGCACAAACTTCTTGACACAGGGGAATTCACTCTGTGGCAGTGGCACCTGAGCAAATTAAGCACAGCACCTGTGGGCTTCAAGCAGTCCTCAGGCTGCTATGGCTTGCATGGGAACACACTGATACACACACTCACATGCACACACAACCCAACAAGAACAAAAATCCACATCACCTTTAAGGTGATCACAAAAAATATGAGATACTGCATACTATTCACCTAAAGAAACTTTTGATTCTTCACTCAACTCAGCTAGGTCAATACCTTAGCACAAGCAGGGTTTTGCTCTATGCATGCTTTGTAGATGTTTGTTCTCCAGATCTAGAAGTGACATCCAAGGATCCAGTCTAGAATGTTTGATTATTTCAAAGAAATTCTGTCCTTTGATCCAATGATTGTTGTATGACTGTGGGGTTAATTACTTAAGCATCCATGACTAGGTAAATGTTGTTTGTTTGACTTTTAAATTAGAAATTATAGTCACTGCAGGACCTGGCAGACCAGCAAAAGGCTCTGGAAAATAGTTGTATGTTACTGATTATATTAATTCAGTCCTTTTGCAAGAGCTATAATTAAATGTTCTTACAGCTGAGTACATTCTCATTTTCATTCTTTCATTTTAATCTACATTGTTTCTTTTAATGTACACTTTTTATGAGCTTAGTTTTGATATTGCTTGGACCAATTCATTCTTCTTACCGTCTCTGTAACTTAGGTGACATTCACTCTATTTCAAAAATCTCTCAACTGAAAGGAAAAATCCTTTTTTAGAAGCTGCACTGCATTTTTCTTTGCAGTAAGAATTGGAACGGAGGGTGCCAAACAATGTCTTTTATAAACCCTCCTGTCTCAGTTTTGATCCCATTTCACTGTTAATGTTCTAGATTTGGCAAAGTGACTGTTTCATGTGCTTCATTGCTATAGTAACACTAATGGAGAAGCCTTCCTAACATAGTAATTTAGACTCTGAAGGGGATGGATATACAGAAGATGACACTGTAAATAAATATGAGAAGATGAATATCTCCTTGGGGAGAAAAAAAAAAAAAAAAAAAAAAAACAACACACACACAAAAAAAAAACTTTTAGAGTGTTTATGAATTCTAAAACATAATTCATTTTTCTTACATTGTATCATGAGAGTGGTTCAAAAGCTTCTGCGATTGTCCTGGGCCCTTTCATGACACAGGGAATCTTTGCTTTGAAATCCTAAGATCACAGGAAGGAGAGTGAAAGTTTTATTATCTTCTTCTTACGCACAAGCAATTGAAGCAAAGGCAGATTTAGACTGAACATCAATCTCCTGAGTTGCTTTATCCACAAGACTATAATTTTACTGAATAGAAGTGTGAGAAAAAGATCATAGAAATATACGCAAACAGATGTAAAAGAAAAGCTTCTGTTCAATTTTTAACTTGTCAACATTTTTAAGATTGCATATCTCTTGAAGAGTACTGTCACTACTATAGATAACTTGCCCTTCTGGTAATTGCTGGTAACTCGACAATTCATTAAACGCTACTCAGAGAAGCACAAAGCTGGAATACAGCTCTCTCCCACCAGTTATTTAAGGGTTCTTATGTGCAATTTATCTAGACTTGCTCATTTAGATGTTGTCTTATATCCCCCTCAGTTACAAATAGACTTCAAAATAGTTCATCATCCTTATGTGATAGAATCACAACTCTTCTTTTTGCTCAAACACAGACTTTTGCCCTTTTGGTACATTACTAGTACTACTGCAGTATCCAACTAATAAAAGCCAGCAGCTTTTTAGACTTGTCAACAATTTACTTCTCCAAATAATAATTCATTCAACTTGTCTAAGACTTCAGATGAAGTAAACCTCTTTTAAAAATTTTGTTTCCTTCTCCACTGCCTATAAAAACCGCTTAGTGGGCTAGACTGGAAACATGTGTACGTGTTCTGAAGGTTAAGGTTGATAGGTCACATCAACTTACTCTGTCTGCTGAGATCAGTGATTCTAATACTTGAAGCATCAGCATTTCTTGCATCTTGTTCTAAGGAACAACTTCTGATTTCTTCTCTCCCAATCCAAATTACTTGAACTGATGAATGACCACCTAAAGAAGCATTGTTTCAAACTTCATAGAGACAGAAATGTGATGAGTTTGAGGAGGTGTAGGAATATGGAAAACATGAAAAAAAAAAAAAAGGCTGTGTACTACTTCCACTGCTTTTTGTTTGTTTGTCTGTTTTGCCTGCGTATATACTAATATGAAAATGACTTCTAGACACAGCTGGAAGGTGTTTTGAAATTTAAAAATCAACACACTTAAAGACCTGTGAAACTTGGATAGCAAAATAAAGTATGTTCAAGATTTGTTGTTTTACAAAAGCCTTACTGCTCATAAACAATCTCATGGTATTTTTAATGTTTGACACCTCAATACTAGACATAATATTAATTATGTTAGGCAAACAGAGCAGCTTCCAAAGAGAAAGAAAATGAATTTCATGCTATTGGCATTACAATGGTGAGATGACGATATAACCAGTCAACAGAATAATTAGAGTGCAAAAACTGAGTTTTCCTATTCAACTTGTAGATTTTTTCCAATAAAAGAGCAACTTTGAAATGCATCTGAAAATGAATGAGGTCAGGAGAATAAGTTTATCTTATTCAGTTTCCATTTCTCAATATAATGTGCTTTGCTTTCAGCAGATAAGTAGAGCAGTATTTATCCTAAGTACAACTCAGGTTTATCATGAGAGCAGATTGTTTTTCCTCATATTCTTTCCAGCCAGTTTCATGGTGGTGAAGATGAATCAGCTCATAATGTTAGTGCCAAAGGATTTGCCTTGCATATATTTTATTGACAAATATTTTTTAAAGGACAGAACAATGGATGAAATCAATCCACACACGACAGTCCCTCATATTATGACAGAAGGATGAGCATAAAGCATTAATCCCTCCTTTTGACAGCCAAGGACTATGAAAAATGATTTTAGAAAGGAAAAAAATAATTGTCAATAGGACTAGAGAAAGGAGGAGGTAAAGTTCATCTCAAATGAAGAATAAAGCGGAAGAAAGACTGGATGTTATCACACTTCTGTGAGCTGGGTTTACAGCTGTTAAATTACTGCACTTAATTAAACAGTTTTAATTCAGAATCCATGGATTTACAGAAGTCATATATTTATATGGCACTGTGCCTGAGTTAGTATGCCCTGTCTTAATCAAATCCATTCACTGCAATGAAGTCACTTCCCATTGCTAAAGAGTGGTATGGAATTTGTTTCATGTTATAGATGTTTGCTCTGTGAGATTTTCTTTTCTTTAGCACAAGCTCACTTTTTGTTCAATAGTTATTTCATGTTTACACAGCTGTCTAATGAGCTAATCACATAATGCTTTTAAAATTTATCAGGTAGTGCTGGATTCTCCACTGCTTACTTTATTTTTTACAGTTAGTATAGCTCTCATCAATTTCTGTGGAATTAGTGGTGATTTCCACTACTGTAAGCAAGAAGGAAATCAAGAGCTGTTGCAGAGTAAGCCCTCTTGAGCAGAAATGATTTATTTACACACTGAAGGAATAAAACGTCCATTCAAGAAAGAGTAACTAAGCAGTACAGTAGAAATATTCCATGAGATCAAGTTTTGTTCTTCCCAAAGTTGGCTTGCTTACTAACAATGAAATGTGGAATTGATGTTGGTGGAGGACAGAAGCAATCTTCAACATGATGTTGGAAACAGTATTGCTCAGAAAAGAAAAACTTGAAAATTCACAAACCAGGTGCTTCTTTCTGGCTTTGCCTTTCTCCATGATGTTATCAAACCTGGTATGTCCATCCATGAGTGTCTCCTACCAGAAAACATTCACTTTGAGAGCTAATCCTTTATATCATGTTGAGGACTGGGCTGATACATAGAAGATGGAGGTGGAAACATCCATTGTGGGTATCTAGGAGCCCTTCATGGAAATCTCTTGCACATGAGGAGCTGAAGTAGGTTCTACAGCTTTTCACGTATGCTGTCTTACATGCAGTGTACACACCTGAGCATTATGAACCTATTCGTTATTAAGAAGAAATACAATCTTGGTCATTTGTTAGGACACTATGGATGGTGGATAGGAACTCTTCACTCTGTGAAAATGCCACAGCTTCAAATCTGTGTGAATGTTATCCTTGAAGAACAGCATATTTGCCCTGTGAAATAGAATGTTTCTGAAAGGCATACTACCTATGAATCTAAGACTGTGCATTGTCCCATTTTTGATTCTTATCTCATTTCTTTGAAGAAAGATGCAGGTTAATTTAAAAACAAAATCTGTTATATAGCTACATATGTAAGTGCTATTGTTGAAGGACAAAACGGACAATAGAACACAAATTGGACAATAGAACACAAATGTCAAACTGTTGGTCAAGAGAAAGCTAGCTGTTTGGCTAGCTTTTGATTTTACTTATTGTGGTGGTTTTACTCAGCTGGGCAGCTGAGCTCCACCACAATTGTTCTCTACCTCTCCCTTCTCAAAGGAAAAAGGGGAGAAAATATGATCAAAAGGGCTCAAGAGCTGAGATAAGGACAGAGAGATTAGTCAACAATTATCATCATGGGCAATACAGACTAAGCATAGGGAGATTAATGAAGTTTATTACCTATTACTAACAAGCTACAGCAGTGAAAAACTAAAACTACAAACACCTCCCCCCCATTCACCCTCTTCTATATCCTCCCCCTGAGCAGCACAGGGGATCTGGGAACAGGTCTGCGGTCAGCCCATGATACTTCATCTCTGCTGCTCCTTCACAGTCCCTCTCTTCCACTGCTCCAGCACAGGGTCCCTCTCACAGGATGCTGTCCTTCCCAAACTGATCCTACATGGGCTTCCCACAGGCAGCAGCTCTTCAAGAATTGCTTCAATACGGGTCCATACCACAGGATACATCTGTCAGGAGCAAACTGCTGTAGCACAGGTCCCCCCACAGGCAGCAGCTCCCCCCAGACCCCTTTCTCCTGCATGGGCTCCTCTCCACAGGCTGCAGTTCCGACTGGTGCAGGGGCTCTCCACCAGCCACAGACTCCTCCGGGCCACATCCAACTGCTCCATTGGGGGCTCCTCCACAGGCTGCAGCATGGAGATCTGCTCCATGTGGAACCCATGGGCTGCAGGGGGACAGCCTGCTCCACCAGGGGCCTCTCCACAGGCTGCGGGGGAACTTCTGCTCTGGCGCCTGGACCCCCTCCCCCTTCACAGACTGTGGTGCCCTGCAGGGCTGGTTCTCACTACTCACTCTCAATACTCCTTTGTGTAGCAGTTTTTTTTTTTTTTCCCCCCCTTTCTTAAATCTCCTGTTACAGAGGCACAAACAACATCACTTATTGGCTCAGCTCTGGCCAGCAGTGGGTCCCTTTGGAGCTGGCTGAAACTGGCCATTATCTAACAGGGGGCAGCTTCTGGATTCTTCTCACAGAGGCCATCTCTGCAGTCCCCCACTACCAGAATCTTGCCTCATAAACCCAATGCACATGTTTTCTAGCAAGTTACACAACTAAAGACTTAAACAAGAAAGTAAGTTTTACTACACTTTGTTGTCACTATAAGCTTTGAGCCCACATTCTTTCCCTGAGAAGTGAGAAGTTTTAACCAAGGTAAGTCATCCAGACGAAATGCACATCCATTCGTTCCTCAAAATGTTAAAAACACAGACCAAACATTTGACAAGTAAGCTAAGAAGTTTTGAAATGTGACATAACAGTAATGACACTTTACCCACTAATAGAACTGAAACAAGTGAAGAACCTTTCCTGTCCTTATTGGGTTGCAAGTTTAGATGCATAGATTATGGTGAGTGTGGATTTTTATTATCTTTGGTTTGTTTTATTTGCTTTTAATTGATTTAAGGTTTCAGTTAAGTAAAAACTCTGGATTTCAAGTCATTTGTGTTCTTCAAATTGATATATCTCAGATAAGATGTTCACAGGTCACAGTACTCCAAAAGTGGTCAAGCAATGTAGTTAGCAGTAGAAGAAATCAATGGAAAAATAGCTGAAATCATGTGAGCAGATGACCTTACTGTGGAAGTTTGACAGTAAACCCAAGATGACAGCCTTTTGAAACTGCTTTTAAGACCAGATGATCAGAACAAAATACCACATCAGAAGGACATTGAAGAAGCAACCAGAGTAACAGAAGGCCAAACAAGCAGAACCCCCCAAAATAAACTCTCAAGGCTAAAGCATGTTTGATGACCTCAAAAACAAGAGAGAGATTAGGAATGTCAGAGTTGGAAAAAGTTTCTCTGAGATGTGTGCAGGTAAAGGCCATCTAATCCAACTACTGATTAAAACATTAACTGACAAAATAAACATGGCAGGATTACACATAGATGTCAGGTGCCTTCAAAGTGCAACTATCAGTAACCAATAAAACTTTCAAATAAACCTCTTCTACAGTTTAGAGTATAACAGCTCTTTATAGACTTGAAGAGGTTTTCCTTTAGTACACTGAAGTGCTTTAGATAGTCTCTGAAGTTCTTAAAGTTCTACTTTAAGAATTTTTAAAGTAATGTACAGAATGTCTATTATACTTTGTATTGCCTTAACAAATGGAGCAAATTAGCTACTAATGAAAAAGTAATGCAACCCCACTGTCCCATGCAGAGTTTCTGAAGACGCTAACATTCCTTTCTTTCTCACCATTCATCCCCAACACTTACTCTTTAAAGGTCCAGTCCTTCAGAGGTGTAAAAACAGCAAAGTTCTACTGACCTCAGTGGAATTATGCAAATTTACAGCATGATATCTTCCCTTGTTTTACATGTATATTTCTCTAAGTGAAGCACCTAAGAATGCTAGAAATGCTTTGCAGTGAGCTCATTAATCATTAATCATCATTTATCTACACTGAACCGTCTTTTTCATCTATTATTCTTTAAATATTCTAAACCTTTCCTTATCTGCCCACACTTTTTCTTATTTACCTTTCTTCTTACATCAACTGTCTTCTTGTTATCCACACTTTAATTTTCCAGACCAAATATCTACACGAGTATTACAAGTGTTGCAGATGCTTAATACAAAAAAATCAAATTAATTTTCTTATTAGCGAAAAAAATGGATTTTTATGAGCTTAATTAGTCTGCTCTATTAATATGCTTCTGCTCCAGCAGCCAGGTTCCTTCTGTTAAACAAAGGTTATTGTTACTAAAAGGAAATGCCAATATGGTGAGAAATGTGATCTCTCTAGTCCAGTACTCCACATCCAAAGGTGACCAGTACCATTTACCTCATATAAAACCAAAATAAAACACCTGCAAGGTAGACAAGTATATGTCCTGAAGCTGAGACCAGGTCTGGGGTCCCAAGCTCAAGAAGGATGTTGATCTGTCAGACTGGGTCCAGAGAAAGGCCACAAAATTGATGAGAGGGTAGAAGCACCTCTCCAACTAACCAATATTGTGATGTCTTCATGTAGTGAAGAATTGGAACTCCCCAGAAAGACAAAACAAACAAACAAACAAAAAAAAACAAACAACAAAAAAAAAAGGTTCATTCATTAAGTAATTATCCAGTTGTCACAGGCAAAACTAACATGACTGGGGAAACTTCACCTAATTTAACTTACTACCAGTTGCCATAAACATTTAATCATTAGTTTGGATATCAAGGAGGAAAAAAAAAAAGACCAACAATTACATGCCTTAGGAAGCATCTTTCCTGGCCCAACACATTTATTTAACACTAAGGAAATATTTTCAGCAGGCAGAGCAGACAATTCCTGCACGTTAAACAGACAAAGCTAAAGAAAACCTCCTATCATCCCTGTGTTTTGTGATTGAGCCCATCCCACAAAGTGTCCAAGCATGGCCTGAGAATATCTACTACACTGAAGGGACATGGGTAAGTGGTATGGGTAGCACCAGAGATATACTTTGAATGATGTAGGTGGTCAGCCAAGAGTAGCTCTGAGATAGACACACAGCCAAAGACCATTGCCTGGCATCATCTTTGCATTTTTTCATAGAAGAAAACCTTTTATTATCAAAGTGAGATTTGCAATTTTAAATGTAGATGTCTAATTTCTATATCATTTCTACTTCAAAATTCATGGTTCTAAGTGCTGGTAGAACAAACTGAAATATTAAATTTTAGCTTGAAACTGCACTGAACCTTGCAAATAGATTTACCTTTTATCAGAGTAATGAAACTGTAGTTTTAGCACACACAAAAATGCTATAAAGTAACGTTATTTTAAAAGTTTTCATTTACATAATCAGTCTGAGAGTTAAATTCATCAGCACCTACTCATCAGCAAGGACAAATAAAGAAAGACAATGCACCTTTTGTCCATTTAGTCTCAATTTCTCCTGTGTCTACCACTTACGTAGCACTAAAGGGCCGATCCGATGCCTATTAAGTTCAATGACAAAACTTGAATTGATTTTGAATAGAGCAAAACCGGGTCCAGAAGTTCCTAGATATTTCTTCTGCCTAGGTGAACAACTAAAGTGCACTTCAAGTGAAGTGCTGTCAGCACACAAGGCAGTGTTCAAACACTGTTAAGCTTGTTAACGCATGTTACTCCTCTGACTGACAGCTACCAGCCATTCTCTGAGCAAGTTAGCAAATTTAAAATGACAGCATGAACACAGAGTGCTTGTGAGACCTGGGAAGCCATTTTGTCCTCTTCACTATAGCATCTCTTCTTAATTATTTCTCTAAATAAGAATCTCCCTCTGGTTATCCACAGAGAGAGGAACATATAACTGTTCCTCCCTACCCCAATGAAAGCACTTGTGCATGCGTTTTAGAGTACACAGGCATATCAAAAGGAAAGCACTGGAATATTCCAAGATTGTCTCCCTTCTTTTTGCATTTCTTTATAATGAAAGTAGTTAAAGGAACTACGCTTTCTTTTTTCTCTAAAAATCAAGTGTTATCACATTTTCCTATAATTATATGGCATTCCTTCCATTATACAAAATAATCTAGTCATAGAGAGCATACAGAGTAGGATAACCAAGTATGCATATATGTTTAAATTTGGTACTTACTACTTGAAACCTTACCACACTGCAGTACTTCAAGGAAGAGTTGCCAATATGAAGGACACTGACTAGAAGAGATCAGAGACTTCAACCAAAATTGTAGAAAACCTTAGAGTGTAGTACTGAGAGAAGAAGTATGGAACATCTCAAAGAAATCTCCTACGATATTTCTGAACCCAGGAAATACTTATATCTCTATTGCCAGGTAATTTCATACTAGTCCTACAGTATCTACAGCATATCTCCAGGCACAATCATCTACTTGGACTGTATGAGAAGTCAACCCACACAACCCAAATGCCAGTAACAGGAATGACTTTGTGAAATCTCCCTTGTGGAAGAGGATCCTTCTCCATATCAGAGCAACTTGAGAAGTTCCATATAAACCACTTTTAGATATTTTAGGCTCTTTCCAACCCAGCTTTTCTTGTGAAGAATTTAATGCAAATAGGGAAGACAGCTGAAGTAGTCATCATGTAGCAGCTCAAAAGCAGAATAAAGATAAGAAGGTAGGTCTGATGGCTCCTTGCTCAACAGGGAAAATGAAGTCCATTATTTGCCTTGTTAGTAAGCCTATGAACAATCACTGCAGCTGGCAAAATATAAGCTGAAGGAAAGAGTGCCTTTGCAATAATGATCGAGAGGACAAAGGGTACACTAAGACAAACTGGTTTGGAGCATTGCTGGCACTGTTAGTCTTGGCCAGAAGAAGGAAGAGAAGCATTTGAGAACTAGCCTCTGCATACCTTCCAGAGAAACCAGTACTCAAAAATCAAGGGTGAATCAATAGCAGGATGCATCTTTGTAAGAGAATACAGGGTCATATTTTTATATTTTTGATATTTTTGTTGTCAGGGAAATTCCTTGGATGGATAAGCCTGTGGAATGGAAGCATTACTGGGGGAGGGGAAAGTGTGAGCTGTGAAGGACAAGACAATCATAAATTAAACAGGAGATTCTAGAAATAAATGTGCCCTCAAAACTGCCACTATGACTAATTCAGTGTCATAAGTACATAATGCAAGGCCTGTATTTATTTGATCTCTGAGCCTAGCATCATAAACCAGCAGGAATTTTAGTTGTGGCATAAAAAAACAGAGGGCACTCAATGAATTTTAAAAGCCAGTGTACAGTACAGGACTGATCTCTAACAGAGGCACTGGCAACATTCCCTAATCAACAACTGAAGTCAGCAGAATAAGAATTTGATGTCTCTCAGCAGATGTGCATAGCAACAGGTGGAGCAGAAAGGAAGAAGAGGCTTTTAAACAGTGCTTGAGAGTTGGCCAATCTGTGCTTCATTTCTATTTCTAGCCTTAGCCCAGTGGGCATATCTCTCTGCTCAGTGCTGTTTCCCATGGCACTGCCTCCACATTAGTCCTTATTGTCTCCGATCTTCACAGGCTGTTCATGGTACTGTTGGTGCTTTTGTAGGGCACTTACTACTGCAGAGTACTGATCTTACCTGGGCCTTCCAGGAAACTTATAAAACAAAAAGTGTTTGCTTAGCTGTTTGTTTGTTGAACAGATCAATTACAAAGGCAACATACTTACTCCTTTCTTCCTGAGAGATTGTCATGGAAAGAAAAAAAAAAAAGGCAGAAAGAAAAATGGTGGGTTTTATTTGTTGGTTTTTGCTCATTTTTTGTGGGTTCCCTTTTTACCTTGAAATTTATAAAATAACTGACATAATCAAATACCATAGGTACTTAGTTATTGAGCAAAACCAACAGTTAAAACACAGAAGTACAGAACACATTTCACAGTAAAACCTCCAGAGTTGTCTGTTGGTGGTTTTTAATCTCTCTTGCCATCACATGGTACAGAGCAAAACTCAACGAATGCAAAGTGAGATCCTTATCTAAACTGCTCAAGTCAGCAACATTTGTTAGAAATCGATGTAAATTTTCTGGTCAGTCCGGCTATCTGATGTACTAGCAATCCTAGGTTGTGTTTTTTTGTTGTTGTTGTTGTTGTTGTTGTTTGTTTTTCTTCTTTTGGCTAAGCTTTGAAAGGGGGGAAAATAAAAAGAAGAGAAGAGGGAGGTCAAGTCCTACTGATACTTTCTAACAGGCTCTTGTGGTTTCATTGCAGACTGAGTTTTTAAGTCAATTTCCATTGAACTGAGTAGTGCCATAGACACGTCCCTCACATGAGATTTTGATGACAATATCAGATTACACAGACTATGGAATTAACACATCTGTATATCTATGGGTTTGCTTTGTCCACTAGCAACTTATTTTTAGCAGACAGACAGATCAAGGTTTCTGCCAGCTTGTTTGGTTTATCTCTGAAGCCCTTGTAAATTATTTTTACCTGCAATTCCCCATGGAATGCCAACAAATTAGCGTAAGGATTATCCTACAAGCAGGTTGTAAGCAAGTTACTTGAAATTGCAATAACTTATTCAAGGGTGGAGTTTTGATTACAATCACATTTTAGATGGATACACCCAACATCAAATCTTCACAGCTTCGCTATTCATTATTTTATCCCATTAAAGTGTAACTTCATCTGATCCTCTGAACAAAAGTTTGCAAAGCTGTCAGGTAATCAAAGCTTAAATCACAATTTAAGAATCTCAAACTTGTATAGCTAGTAAACATAGCATTAGTGAAAAGTGACAAAATTAATAGCCCTGGAGATTAAATCAACTTGTATTTATACTATAGCAGTATCTTAAAGCACAACGCAGAACATGACAGATTGTAGTAGATGATCTCTGCCCCAGAGAACTTGTAGTTTAAATAGGAGTGACAGGCAGGTGGGAACAAGGATAGGGCAACACAGCAAATAGGATAGATGCAGCCTTCCTTCTCTCCCTGCCCACCCCCCCCCCCCCCACACACACACTCACCTAACTGGGCCTCATCAGACAACAAACAGTTCAGACACACTGTCCAGCTCCTCACCTAGCGTGATGATTTCTTCCAATGCCCTGTCCCCAGATTCTCTGTTGAAGCTCTCAACAGGACACATCCACTGAAATAATTAGCATCTATAGACCTCACGGTATGGAAAGTCTCAACTCTGAACTGTCCTTATGTCATCTGTGAATGCATTGCTGACTAACATATTGTGATTCTGAAGTGGCTGATGAAACAGCTGCTGTAACAGTAATCACCATTCATTTTTTAAAGTGTCTGTTAGCTCAAGATTTTATGTACTGGCATTGTCATATTAAAGCAGAACACATTTTTGCTGGCTTTGATTAATTATTAACTTCTAGGTTTTGTTTTATGATCTCCATGTGGCTTACCAATGGCAGTACCATACCTGCACTATTCAGAGGAATACAAATGGCTGATTGCAGAGCGTTGGCTGCAATACTCATGCATCCATATGACCTGCTCATGGCTTAAGGCCTCCAAAAAGGTTCTCATTTTATTCTCCCTGGCTTGTCTGATATCCTACCAAATAACTCATAAGAGTGAAGCTGTGAACCTCTAAAAGAAGTGGCACGTGCCATCTGCTCTGAGAGGGGAGTGGAGGGATTCCAGAAAGCTGCCTTCTTTGTGCTGGCATTTCTGTTGAACAATGCCATCTCTTCAGTCCTGAAAGCTTATGGCTACCTTGGCACCAAGCCTGAATGACCACTGTGACAGATAGATAATGTATACATGAGCAGTGAAGTGATATGAAAACAAAGGTTTCCCAGCTCACTTTCTCCTAGGGAAATGAAATCCCTGATCTCAATGCACCGACTGTGGCAATGACTTGGCAAGGGCATTGGTTGCAACTGAGACCAACATTTAGCATATTTATCACAGGATCTTAGCATTAAAAAAAAAAAAGCCAACAATTCTATAGAATACTGCTACCACAAAATACTCTCCACTAACATAAAACAATATGCTCTCCCCACTCCAACACCACCTCACAACCACACAAAATTTATTTTCATTGTTAAAAGCACTTAGGTGTGATGGCTTTTGAAAATGTTCAGCCACAGGCCCCTTCAGAAAGGCAACACTGCATGCCTTTTCATTTAAGAATTTCAGCCAACATTTCAGCATGAACACTAATTAATTAAGCCTCTTACTGTCACTACACACAAACAAGATACATGGATTGCTTCCCCTTCCCTGGGAACACTACTGTCTAGAAGAAAATAACCATTAGTTAACTGCTCAACCCAGCACGTGTCCTCCTCCAGCAAAGCTAGGATTTGGGGCAACAGGGTCAGAGCAAGCATGACTAAAATCTTTGGAAATGATGATTGTCAATGCCTCTGCTCCTAGAAAAAATCACTTCCAGCTATGGGCATTTGCCAAGTGATTTTGCATTTACATTTCTACGGAGCCTGCTGCTAACAGAGGATCCATGGCTCCAATACCTGTTTTTGTGAGCACAATATGCTCCTGAAGCCTGCAAAGGTGTTTTTGACAGCTTGCACCCTGTGAATAGAATAACAGGTCTTAAAACCATGTTTTCTGACACTGGGGGAAGTAGGAATCACACACACTGTGCACATGGCAGCACAGTTCTGTCAGGCCCCATGTCCACTCACTCCTTCTTGGTGGGGAACTGAAAGGAGAGGTGGATCTCTAGGTGATTCTATTTGGCAGGGGGGTTGGTCACCTTGCTGTTGCTGACCTTGTTGCCCCTCTCTGCTCCTGGCTCTTTTCTCAGCCCTTGCTGCCCCCTGAAAAATCTGCCCCTGTGCTGACTTAAGGAGGCATTACAGCACAGCACAACTCCTTTACTCATGTGCACCTGGGTTACCTTCCACAGGATAGCCATGTATCCAGTGCAAGCAGCTGGAGATCAGGACTGTCGAGCCATCAAGATGCTCATACATCCCAAGGTACAGAATCATCTGCATTTCCAAAGATATAGGCCATCATGAAGCAAAAAAATAGGATTGTACTCCTCTACAACCTGAACCTGATTTTCTGGTAGAGGTTTGCTGTAACATCTACAAACTGTTCATCAGTAGAACAGTCCAAAGACATTTGGCAAGCCCTGGCTTATTCAGCTGCATCTTTTTCTGGTTCCTAACATGCAGACATGTATTTCTTGGTGATCCCTTGTCTTTCTGCCATTTGGGTAAGACATCTCATCTACAGGTACAGGCATAAGTCAGAGAGATGAAAATTCCCATCATTTGCTGATTATCTGTTTAGGGTATAGAATACATCAGAGTTGAAACACTTTACATTAAAGCAGCCAGTAATCATTTACAGATTTAAGTTGTATTAAGCATTCATAGCATTAGGATGGCTCCCTTCTGAGATGAATTTCAGCTTAAGATCTTAATAATTTAAAAGGAATAATTTTGTGGAGGGTGCAATTGATGCTTCAATCAAGTGGCATTGATGCTTCAATTTCCTGGTAGATATAACAGAGTCAGAGGTTAGAAATATGTCACTCCTTTGGAGTTCCAGCCAAAACCTATCAGAATCCTCTGCGACAGTGAGCACTTTAAGGTATCCATGAATTAAACATTCAGTAGGCATTAATAGATCAGTGTCATCTTAATTTATCAGTAATTAGAAATTAAAATATGCAAAATAAATGGCATATAATACAAGTGTAATCGGTCATTCTGTGTATAAAAAAACATGTTCAAAATGTAGATGGAATACTCTTTTTTAAGCAGTTTTCCCATGACTAATCAGATATTCCAAAATTCATTACAACTTTGCATTATATATTCACATTATCCATGACATGGGCATCTTTAATATCGATAACATATAATTGTATTTGCTATAGAGTGATGGAACAAAATCAGTTGGCATATAGTGCTTGAACATGATTCCAGTACTGATATCTTCTCTTTGCAGAACACTTATCGTTATTAATAATGTATGGCATTAGATTTTCAAGCTTGCCTAGCAAATGTCACAGCCAATGCTCTGTTCAGTAAAATTTTCTCTGTGAATCAAGCACCAGCCACACAGAGACAAGAGTCTGACCTAAGGGGATTTGTGTGGTTAAAACAAACCCTCTCTACCATCTCACACTGTGAACTGTGTCAGATGACCGCACCCATGTTAATGGGAAATTTAACTTTGAGGAGACGTACATATTTTCTAACCTCTCACTGTCCTCAAAATACACACAAAAAAGTTTTTCTAGGCCTTCTTACTCCTATGTATAAACACCATACGTGCTTACACATTCTCTAGAGGTGGTGTCATCTCTAACAGGTGTTAACCTCCCTTCCTAGTTGCCAGTACCTTGTTTGAGGTTGAAATCATTCACCTCTTTCTCCCCCAGAACTTGTGAATATCTGTTTGCTTTATTTTGTTCAACTGGAAGCTTCTTTCCAAGTCTTGTGCATCATGGAAGAATCTTCTGCAACATTTCTCTGAAATCTTAAGATTTCATCACTGCTTTCCAAACTTCTCTGGAATTATTCCACTGAAACAGCAAAAGAAAAAGCATCTGTTCTTCTTTGTCACTTCTTCCAAACAGCAAATAAACTGCAAGCAGATTGCCTACCCACAAACACCATATTTCCAAGGTAGCATAAGGAGTGTTTTTAAGAACATCATCTCATTCTGCAGCAAAACCTCACATACAGTCTGTTGCTTAGGACACATATGTAGATCTTACCAATATCTCTTACTCAGTTCTCAAATTGGGATCTGACTGAAGACCTCTCTAGGTTTTCTAAAGACTCTTAAAACCCTACTAATTATTTCAAAGAATAGTTTCCAGTGGTGCATTTGACTCTCCTTAATGAAAGTGCAGAGGCACCTATACAAACACACAATGAAGTAAAAATGCAACAGCTTTACCTCACTGTGCCAGTTGTATATCTCATGATTTCTTCTCATTCATCTTATGTCTTTTCTCCATGTCCACCATAGACATAATTACACATCCATACCCTGCAAAGCCAATAATTTAAGCAATAAAAAAATTACAATTAATGCATTTTCTTCCTCCATCTAATATCTTTTTGATTACACAAAGAAGACCTAGCCCCACAACCACATCCCCACATCCATTCAAGATTAATTATTCTCAAGTATGTAAGCAGCCTTATGGTAATCAATCTAATTATTCATGTGTTTTTAACTACATCAGTGATTGCAAGCTGCTGGTCTTTGCATGTAAAATCTTTTCTCCACCTGTAAAAGTGGTAGAAATAAGTTTGAGTAACATATATACTAATTTTGTCTCAACTCTTTTAACTAACTTATCTGGTCAGGAAATAGGTTTGTTTGTATATCTACTTATGTCAGCAAGCCAATGGGACCTTGACCTTACAAGGGGTAAGTGTCATCATAATTAAAAAAAAATAAAAAAGGCTATAACAGGGGAAAAGATTCTCCAATATCACAGTACTGCTTTGCAATTTATTTAGTTTAGCAAACAAGTTTCAGTCCTCCTGTCCTCCTGCCCTACCCCAATTTTTCATTGATTGTTAGTGATAAATATCTGGTGTTCTAGATGGTCAGCAATGTCCTAATGAAGATTTGCTTTCTCTAGGCTTCGGTGAAATTATCTCAAGGTGTAGTCAATGAACTGAATTATAAATTGGAATTTGTCATGGGTTTGAAGTAACTTTTTAGAAATCCAAAGCAGATTCCTAGTTTCAGAGAAATTAAAATGAATGTTTTATTGTTTTCTAAGCTATGATTTTTTTAGTATTATTTTTTACTCTTTTCTCCCATTTTCTGTTCTTCTGAAGAGAACCTCCATAAAGTAGCTCTGGAAGCTTCCTTCTTGAACCAAGTTAATTACAAAAAACAGAATAAACAACAAAAAATGTGTAGGCTGTCTAAATCATTAGGCTACTGAATTCAGACCATTGAAAGGTTTAATGAGAACAAACAAATGGAAAACGCTATAGCAAATAAAAACACCAACTATTAAAAACAATGTGCAGTGAAAACTCGTGTGTTTTTTTTTTTCTTATAGATCTTTACATTAGTTTTGTCAGGCTCCTATGAGAACTGCCAACTCCTATTACTCTTCAATGTTTTTTTTGTTTAGCTAGCATATAATGTGAACATTTTAATTCAGTTACATAAATCAGGAGTAACATTATGTAGTATTCCAGATCAGATTAAATAAACGAGGTAAAGGAGATCCAGAGAAAGGTGATTAGAATTATCATGATAACTCATCTACAAAGAATTGAAAGCTTGTTCACTCTGAGGAGGTAAGGAGCAGAATGAGGCAGGCTACAAAAACCAAACACATGCACTTGTAAATGCACTGTGAGCTTCTATCTTTCAGTGTAAGAAGGAATGGTCTGTCATTTAAATTAAAGGGAGTAACTGTGAAAAATATTTTTTTGAAAGAAAATGGTTTATTATATTAAAAGTTCTACACCCTTACTGAATAGTTAAACACTGAAACTCATCACTACAGGTTTTCACTGATAAGTATAGCCCTCTTTAGCTCTGTTTGAGGAGGGGGGGGAAGCATTTATTCTGATAAAAATATCCAGAGATAGGGAGAGAAGAAAAAAATAAATCCTCACCTCATGTTTCAGGGTTAAATCAATTCCAAGGCAGCAGTGATTAGGATGGCTGCAAACTATTCCACATCTGCCAAGTATAAAATTTCTCACACCATCCTTTACAACACACAGGGCTGCCCACTGTCAGCCAAGGGACTGATTCAAAGTTCCCAGCTATCTTTATGTTGCAGATATTCTTATCACACATTTGCTCCAAACTGCTGCCATCACAGAAAGTGTTTGATGAAAGAAAATCTTTTCTTTCTGTTGCTTAAAGAAAATAGAAGTCAAAGGAAGAAAAAAAACAGGTGAGTAGAGCATCTTCATTTACTTTTCATTACTGTTTTTTCTACACCAGTCTTCTGAGAGTTGTCAAAAAGAGAAGGAAAAAGAGTATTTTACCCTGAAAAAAAATATTCTGGGGAAGCCACTTACTAACTTCTGGCTATCACTTTACCGCTGTCTCTCTTGCAGTAAAGCTATCATGCACTGAAGTACCAAAAATAAAGGTTCTCCTAAGATATCGCTTACTGCCTTCACCTGAGGTTAATCATAAACCAGTACTCTCACAAACTGCAATCACATTCCAAGTGACCTTCGACATTCTTCCTGCAAACATTACCAAAGAGGTTCAGAAGTTTTGTGTCATTTTATCTGCAATGCTCACTTTTTCCTACTTCAAGATAATTTGGTAGACTTTCTGTGGCTCTTTCCTGGTGAGACAGTTATTTGTGTATCAGGATAACATCATTATTATTTGAAAAACAAACAAGTTCAATGAAATTTTTTTAAAATAGTAAGTAACAGAATTATTTTAGAACTTTTTATTTTAAGAAAAAACACCCAGCAAAAAATTCTCTGTGCTGAAATGATCTCATTCCTTGAGTTATTTAGCAAAGCACTATGTAATAGCAAGAGATGTTGTTGCAGTAGTTGACTTGTATGCATTCAGAACATTCACACACTACTTTAAACCTTCCTGCAAAAAAGGAAATATGTGATGTGATTTAGGATGCTGGCTTATAAGTTTAAACCAGCAACTATAGCATGCAAGCATGTACTCAGTACATAAGGGCTTCTGCTGGTAAAAATACCAAAAAAATATGAAAGAAAAGGAAAACTGTTATAAGAGATTCTCAGGAGAAGGCTTCAAGGATGGCTTTATGTACACTAGCCTGAATTAACAGCTGATTTGTGACCAGTGTATTAGAACGCCATATTCAAAGAGGTACAGAGACTGCATATTCACCTTGTATGTGCCTTGTATGTGTCTATGAAGGTGGAAGAACCGATTATAAGAATGCAGTAGTTTCTGCTATTTAATAGCAAATAACCCTCTGTACTGTGGATCTTATCTAGCCTAAAATTGGGGTCAGCTAAATTAGAAGAGAAGATGGTCATGCTCTCTCACCTTAATGGTTTTAATTCATACAAAATCTCCAGGAATGCAGGCAAAGAAAAGCCTGCAATCTAAATAAGAAAAAATAATAATAATAAAAAAAAAAAAATCAGAAGAGTTAGTCTACAATCTCTGACTGAAAAGTAAAATAGCCCTTACTCCAAGACCCATAAGAAATAAAATTCATGCAAACCATCCAGAGCTTGAAAGAGTTGGTGTTGACTACAATTCAATATATAAGCAAATACCAGAATGGCTAGCATCTGCTGCTAATTGTTTAACACATCCTCCTTACCTGATACATGACCTCACACATTTTAGCAAATGGCAATCTCTAATTAATGTTCTGAAATTGTCTTCAGATGTACATTTTATATAGGCTACTTTGTGTAGAGAAAACAAGTTAAAGACAAACTTTATTTTATTTTTTTTCCTCCTTTGGTAAAGGATTTAACATTTGCTGGCCTATCTCAGGTTTCTATTTATACAACTAACATAAACTACCAAAATGTTAAATAACAATACAGTTCAGAGAGGTATAAACTGAGGCTTTCTGGAGCACTTTCAAAATCATAAATAAAAACAAGCAATTTAGCACTGAAATTTGCTGTGAGTTCTCCAATTAATCGGCATTTGATGCAACCATACCACAGCTATTTTTGTGTATTCCTCTTAGATCAGTCTACAGTGTACTTAAAAAAGATAAACACACGCTTAATGGAAAACTTTTGCCATTTCTTTGCAGAAACCAGAAGAGTGACAGCAGTAATAATTAATATCTCTGTGCTTCACAAACAGTGAAATCAGATGCATAGTTTATCAAGAGTCTGTATATGTAATTTTTCCATTAACAATTCTGCAGACAGAGCATTGATAATTGTGCTTGTGGTGAATCCCAATGAGGCATATTTGCCTGACATTGTTGAAGAAGGGGGGAAATGAATATATGCATTTTAAATTTTTATGATTACATTTTTACTGAAGTGTGGGGGCCCGAGGTTTCATGACTGTTTTAATGCAATTGGTTCCACTTAGGAGAGATGACATGTTGAAATGTGATGTGCTGAATGTTTCTCAGGTAATTGGAATTCAGTCAACAACAACACTGGGCATTGTCACAGCTTTTAAATAAAAAGGCTTATCTTCCTCTTTTATATTATGGGATATGAGGCATCATATTATACAACATCATGATCCTAGATGACAACCTCTCAAACAGAAATTAAAAAAGTTTACTTCACTCAGCATATTCCTCCTGAATTTGGATCAGACAGGTACATTAAAGTGCATGCAATTTCATGTGCAGTGAGCACTACCCAATTCTCTTGCCCACATAAATGGCTGCATACACTCCTGATACAACTCTGATGGCTTCTACATCATTTATGTGTCAGAGTTGAATTTGAGCCATTGTTGGTACTGTTATCCACACTCACTCTCTGTGTAACCTTCCCTGGAGCTTGTGGAGAGAGAAGCAGCAAGGAAAAAGGGACACTAGAAAAACTTAAAGCTTAACTTCTACAGAGTTCTACAGAAACAGCTCAGAGGGTTGTCATGGGATACATAGCCTGGCATTCAATGTTTTTTCTGCTGAATTAATTTCTCTCATATTAAAACAAGGAAACAAGTAGGGGTGAGTTAGCTGCTGAGAAGAGGAAAGACTCATCTGTTATTGAAATCTGAATTCATGTCTCAAACAAAATTCAAATCAAACTAAAATGGACGCTGAAACCTTAAGGCAAGTTTTAGCATTCTCCGCTGTTTAGTTTTCACACAGTTCAGAAGATGTACTTATTTTTCTTCCAGAAGTTGTAGGCCTGAGTTTTCCTACCTACTCTTTTTAGATAAGGAACGGCTGTATTTCTGGATAGTTGTTTGCATCCCAAAACTGAGAGTCTAAGGGTGGGATCCCATAGTTCTGAGAATCAGGTAAACTACATACTGCTGGTATACAGCAAGACATATTTCCCTGAATATATTTCCTTATCTGAACTATTCAAGGGGTAAGGTATAATTTAAGGTTTAGACATCAGATGGAGACTTGGCATCCACTACTGTTCCTCAGCTCACACACCCATGTTTCTCTTGAAATGGCAAAACAGAGGGAAAAAAGACTTTTTGTTATGTCATAAAAGACCAAAAGTTGAGACATACCTTTCAGCTTAATGTGTTTTTTTTTTAACGCTAGACTTCTTCTGGAAGTTTTTTTCTATCTATTGGACATACCAAACACAGCTATAAACATTGTTTTACAAGTGCAGTAAAATACCAGTAAGGCTTCACATCTCCGCATGGTAGGTCTACATTAATTTTTACATTGCAGTGTAATTTTTATGTTACTTAATTATATGTAAAGTCTAACTTAGAGTCTCATAACCGTACTCTGTCCTTTACCTATCAACAAGTGGATACCAACTGAAAGTGATTTGACAGCTTGGGTATCAAGACTGGATTTGGGGCAAAATATGTCTATACCCTTCCACTAAAGACAGAAGCTTCCGTAGCAACTTCTAGACTTGAAAGGACCACAATAATCAAATAGTGCTTAAGGACTCTGTTTCACATATCTCTTGAGCACTAGTTATCTCTGCAGCTATAGAAGGCTACATCTTTTTTGTGGGAGAATATCATACAGAGTGCAAGGTTTCTGTCAGCCATCAGAACTAAAGTGCAGACAGTGCAGGTACTTTGGTCTAATGTCTAGGTCCTGAGCACCAGGTGCTGTAGGAAATGATTTCCTTTGTAAAGCACATTAAAAATGACAATAATAATAATAATATGTTCCTAAGTTGATTACTTCTTTGTATTTGAAAGTGAAACAAACAGAGGGATATTTCTAGCTGAAGCCAGTATCTTACAGGCACAATTTGTATCTTGATAAGGCACCCAGGAAAATGACAAAGGGCATGAAAAGCTACTGGCTATGTTTTTTATGATACTTTTTAGCAGGCAGATGCAAAGCAGCACCAATTCTCACCCACCCACATCTCATCTCTCTCTCTCTCCCTCCCCACAACTTATTTTTAATGCTTCAGAAGTTATTAGTGGGTTATCTCAGCTTTCTCTTTCCACCTTCACTCCTCTATAGCATGATGAAAAGATTTGGAAAGTGAGACATGGCAAGGACTAGTACAGTATTCTGATGTTTGTTTGTTTTTTTTTTTTTTTTTTCCTTTCATGGAGCATATACCATTAATCTTTGATGTTATGAGATTAATCTGTGCATGAAACAGAGAACCTACTGACTAATATTCCCTAGAACAGATGTTCTAAATGCAAAGTACCAAAGAGAAACACTGTGAAAAATAAAAGCAATCTGGTCCCCTTGAAGGATTAACATACAATTGATGGTGTTCCTGAATGGCTGATCCAACCAATCCACATGCAATGAATGTTAGGACATATTAGAATCACATTCTAAATATAATCAACCACAAGATTGCTAAGCAGAAGTTTGGACCTCAGTCTCCTACTTGTAACTATTTCCATAGATTTTAGTGACACAATGTCCTGAGTCTATGGAGTTATAGTATCCAGTCTAGTGCCTGGTGCCTCTGGTTTGACCACTGGAATAGGCTTCAGAAAGCTCTGACTTTTAGCTTTGTCATAGACCTATTAAAAGGTTCCAGCCAAGTTAAGCAAGGTCTCTACACCTTAGTTTCCCTACACACGAGAAGGATGTGATAATTCTTTCTCCACTTGTGTGGAAGACTGGTTGAGGTTCATTGTTTGATGTTGTTGTTGTTGTTATTCTGTGTTTGTTTCTTTTGTTTGTTTTTTTATTTTGTTTTCTAGAAATGAATATAGATTGTGATGTGCCTAATATCATCGCAGTGCCTGGTTGGAATTCTTTGATGTCACTCTACTCAAAATAAGAACAACAAAACAAGCATAAAGATTTCTCCTCTTGAAGCGAGTGTGCCCTGGGATGCATTATGTATCAATGTTTCAACTTGGTTACCTGTTGTGTGCTTGCCTAAGCTAGATAGTGTCAGAAGACCATTCATTTCCAGAGCCAGACCTCCACACACCTATGTTGCATTGCAAGCAACATCAACCCAGCATGAGCTCACACTGCTTCTGAAACTTCTCAATCCTTTATGCAGGCAACAATG